GCCACAGCATGGCCTGACAAGCAGTGCCTCGGTGCCCGCCCAGGATCCAAACCCAGCCCGCCAGCAGCAGAGCGCATGCACTTAACTGCTACGCCACAGCGCCGGCCCCAGATTTGGGCTTTTTTTGTTCTTTTTCTAGTTCCTTTAGGTGTAATGTTAGATTGTTTGAGATGTTTTTTGGTTCTTGAGATAGGCCTGTATTGTTATAAACTTCTCTCTTAGTACCACTTTTGCTGCATCCCATAGACATTGGTATGTTGTGTTTTCATTTTCATTTGTCTCCAGGTATTTTTTTATTTCTCCTTTGATTTCTTCATTGATCCAATACTTGTTCAGTAGCATGTGTTTAGTCTCCACATATTTGTGACTTTTCTAGCTTTCTTCTTGTAGTTGATTTCTAGTTTCATAGCACTGTGTTTGAAGAGATGCTTGATATGATTTCAATGTTCTTAAATTTATTGAGACTTGTTTTGTTTCCAAAAATATGGTCTATCTTTGAGAATGTTCCATGTGAACTTGAGAAAAATATGTATTCTGCTGCTTTTGGATGGAATGTTCTACATATATCTATTAAGTTCATCTGGTCTAATGTTTTATTTAAGGCTATTACCTTGTTGACTTTCTGTCTGGATGATCTATCCATTGATGTAAGCAGGATGATAAAGTTTCCTACTATTATTGTGTTGCTGTCAATTTCTCCCTTTATGTTTGTTATTAATTGTTTCATAAATTTTCATGTTCCTATGTTAGGTGCATATATATTAATAAATGTTATATCTTCTTGATGAATTGTCCTATTTCTCATTATATAGTGTCCATCTTTGTCTCTTAGTTATCTTTTGTGGCTTACAGTCTATTTTGTCTGATATAAGTATTGCTACATCCCCTTTCTTTTTGTTGCCGTTTGCTTGGAGTATCACCTTCCATCCCTTCACTCTGAGTCCATGTTTGTCTTTAGAGCTGAGATGGGTCTCCTGGAGGCAGCATATTGTTTGATCCTGTTTTTTAATCATCTAGTGTCTTAATCACCCTGTGTCTTTTGATTGGTGAATTCAATCTATTTACAGTTAGGGTGATTATTGATATGTAAGGACTTAATATTGCCATTTTATCTTTTGTTTTCTGGTTGCTCTATATTTCCATTGTTCCTTGTCCCTTGTCGTTCTGACTGCCATTTCAGTGTGGTGGTTTCCTGTGATGTTTTTCTCAGTTTCCTCTATTTTTATCTTTTGTGTCTCTCCTCTGAATTTTTGTTTTGTGGTTACTATGAGGTTTGTATAAAAGGTCTCATAGATATGATAATCCTTTTTCTGCTGATAGCATCTTATCTTTATTTGCCTATGTAGGTTCTGTCCTTTTTCTTGTCCTTTTCTATGTTTTTGTTGTCACGAATTATCACTTTTCGTATTGTGAGTTCATTACCAAATCGAAGTGGTTATAGTTACTTTTAATGCTTCCTTTCCTTTTAACTTATAATTACATGTTTACTAACCTATTCTGATATAGAGTTGCTATTTTTTTCTGATTCTGTCTGTCTATTTATCACCTTGCTCAAAGCTCTGTATACCTTTGCCTTTTTGTTTCAGGTAGGAGAGCTCCTTTCAACATTTCTTGTAAGGCAGGTCTAGTGTAATGAACTCACTCAGCTTTTATTTGTCTGGGAAAGCCTTTATTTTTTCATTCATGTCTGAAAGATAACTTTGCTGAATAGTGTATTCTTGGCTGACAGTTTTTATCTTTCAGTATTTTGAATGTATCATTACACTCTCTCCTGGCTGGTAGAGTTTCTCCTGAGAAATCTGCTGATGGCCTAATGGGGGTCCCTTTGTAGCTTATTGGGGTTTTTCCCCCCTGGCTGCCTTAATATTCTTTCTTTATCATTGACTTTTGACAGCTTTGTTATCATGTGTCTTGGAGAAAGTCTTTCTGCTTTGAGATAATTGGGTGTTCTATTAGCTTCATGGATTTGTATATTCACTTCCTTCCCCAGGTTAGGGAAGTTCTCAGCTATTATTTCTTTAAATAAGCTCTCTGCCTCCTTCTCTTTTTCTTCTCTCTCTGTTATACCCATTATCCTTAAGTTGTGCTTTCTGATGGAGTTGGATAATTCTCGTAGAATTTCTACTTTTTAAAAAATCTTAGTTCTCTCTCCTCTTCTACCTTCATCATTTCTAGGTTTCTATCTTTAAGCTCACTAATTCTCTCTTCTATATGGTCTGTTCTATTTCCAGTGCTTTTTAATGCATTCTTCACCTCATTTGTTGAGTTTTTCAGCTCCAGAATTTCTGTTTGGTTCTTTTTTAGAGTTTCAATCTCTTTGGTAAAGTATTCCTCTGTTCACTGATTTTATTCCTGAGCTCATTGAACTGCGTTTCTGAGTTTTCTTGTAGCTTGTTGCATTTCCTCATGACAGCTATTTTGAATTCTTTATCAGTTAGATCACAATCTTCCATGACTTTATGTTTGGTTTCTGGAGAACTGTTTTTTATTTTCTTTTTGTGATTCTGTGTTACTGTGGCTTTTTGTGGTGCTTGTGGAGTTATTCCTCTGTTGGCATATTTGTCATACTAAACACTTGTCTTATTTAGGTATAGCTTTGTTTTGATTCAGACTTTTCAACTGATTGGAGATTAGAGGCCTTCCTTTTGTTTTTCAGTAGGTGGCGCTATAGCGCTAGTTTTTGTTTTCTCTTACCTGAGCTGTCTCTGCCTCTATTTGAGGATCTGCACATTCCACCCTCCACCACTTCTATTAGGGGTGCTGCCAGTACTCTTGTCTGCCATCTGCACCTCTGAGGGTCACTGATGCCTTGCTGTTGCTGGTGTCACTGTGGTCGCTGGCTTTGCTGCCAGGGGTACAGGGAGGGCTGACATCTCCACTGCTTTGGGATCAACTGGGTTGGAAACTCTAGCACGATGGCAAGGTTTGGGGGAGGGTAGGGAGGGAGCTGGGTTTGTGGGTCACTGTCTCTGCTGTTGCTTGTTACCTTGTGGCTGCAGGCACCAGTGTGGTTGGGATGTCAAAGTTGTGTGTGCACCTCTGCTGCTGCTAACAGGCTCTGAGCTGCAGCCAGAGGGCCTGGGATCACAGGCCTCCACCTCCACTGCTGCTTTATTCCCTGTGGCCATAGGTGTCCCTGCAGCTTGCTAGCCAGACACATGTGCCTCTGCTGCTGCCCGCTGGGTTCTCTGGGGCTGGAGGCAGGTGGCTCAGCCACCATGGCCGGGGGTCCAGGGTCTTGGGCACTGCCTCTGCTGTTCTCCCATTTTGCCTCATCTGTGTGCTTCAATTCACCCACCTTTGTATGTACTGATGTGTGGATCTCTCCAGTGTCCTGATTGTTGGGCAATTAGCCTTTGTTGGGTTATGGATGTTTTACTCACTGTAGATTGAAGGGGAGAGACAAAGAGATCCTCTCATGGCACCATGCTGATGGTGATGTCCTAAAGCTACTACTATTATTATTATTTGATTTATATAGGCATTTACTACTTGCAAAGCCATTTCATATACATGCTCTCTCATTTGATCCTTATAACCACCTTACCTGTGGGTATGTGAGGGAAGGTTGAGCTTGTGATGTGTGGTGAAGGTCTGTGTTTGGTAAAAGCATTTTACCCAAAAGCATTTATTTTTATCTTTATTTTCCAGGTTAGGAAACTGAGGCATAGAAAAAGTAAATAGGATTACCTGAAGTCACACTTTTTTTATTGTGGTAAAATATACGTGACATAAAGTTTATTATTTTAATCATTTTTAAATGTACAGTTCAGTGGCATTAAGTACATTCACATTGTTGTGCAACCATCACCACTATCTATCTCTGTAACTTCTTCATCACCCCAAACTGAAACTCTGTACCCTTTAAACAATAACTCCTCCTTCTCCCTACACCCCCATCCCTGGTAACCACCCTTCTACTTTCTGTCTCTGTGTATTTCACTATTCTAGGTCATATAAGTGGAGTCATATAATATTTCTCCTTTTGTGTTTTGCTTATTTCACTTAGCATGATGTTTTCAAGGTTCATCCATATTGTAGCATCTATAAGAACTGCATTCTTTTTAAGGAGGAATAATATTGCATTGTGTATATATATATATCTATCACATTTTGTTCATCCATTCATCTGTTGATGGACATTTGGGTTCTTTCCACTTTTGAGGTATTGGAAGTCACACCACTTTTAAGCAGAGACTTCTGGCTCCTGGTCTAATGATCTTGTCCATATTATCACAAAGGGAACTGATTGCTTTGTATAACCTACAATCTCCCCCAAACTCAAGAGGTTTTCAGGGAAATGGGCATCTTGTGTAAAATGATTAGCTAACTGAAATATTGATGCAGAGCTTTCATGAATAAATGAATCAAACTAAGCTTGGTTGGCCCATACTTTATTCAAGTGTTCTTAAGATAACATCTCTACTTCTCCTTTTTCTTCATTAAAAAAAAAAATAGTTTACAGAGAGATACCAAGAGACCATTAGCTGATACAATATCTCTAGAATTATTTCTAGAGGTGAAACTTCATGGTGAAACATGTTAAAGAACTGCTTCTCAGAAAGCAAGTCCAGGGCCAGCCCCCGTGGCTTAGTGGTTAAGTGCACGCACTCCGCTACTGGCAGCCCGGGTTCAGATCCCGGGCGCACACCGCTGCACCACTTCTCCGGCCGTGCTGAGGCCGCGTCCCACATACAGCAACTAGAAGGATGTGCAGCTATGACATACAACTATCTACTGGGGCTTTGGGGAAAAAAAAAAAGGAGGAGGATTGGCAATAGATGTTAGCTCAGGGCCGGTCTTCCTCAGCAAAAAGAGGAGGATTGGCATGGATGTTAGCTCAGGGCTGAGCTTCCTCACAAAAAAAAAAAAAAAGAAAGAAAGAAAGTCCAGACAGCACTTTCTTTTGCTTTCCCGTTTCCCTCTGCCAAGCTTTTACTAGCAGCAGGCATCACTTCAAAAGCCTGAGGTCTAGCCAATCAATTAGAACACGTAGACAAAGCTTGCCTGCAAATCTGTCTTACCTCTGCCGGTCCCGTCAACACCTGGGGCACAGCTCTTCCCTTGAGCTCTGTGCAGAGGGCAGCTTTTCGCTGGACCTAGCAAGGACTGAACCAGAGGAGAAGAGTAGACAGCAGAGCCATGAACATTGTCTTGGATCTCCTCCTGCTTCTGATCACCATCATCTACTCCTACTTGGAGTCCTTGGTGAAGGTTTTCATTCCCCGGAGGAGAAAATCTGTGGCTGGGGAGATCGTTCTCATTACAGGAGCCGGGCATGGAATAGGCAGGCTGACGGCCTATGAATTTGCAAAACGGAAGAGCAGACTGGTTCTGTGGGATATTAATAAGGTAATGGACTATCTTTTAAAGTCACAAGTAAGACGTGTTTAAAAAATTACTTGAGGGCCGGCCCGGTGGCTTAGTGGTTAAGTGCGCGCGCTCCGCTACTGGCGGCCCGGGTTCAGATCCTGGGCGCACACCAACGCACTGCTTCTCCGGCCATGCTGAGGCGGCGTCCCACATACAGCAACTAGAAGGATGTGCAACTATGGCATACAACTATCTACTGGGGCTTTGGGGAGAAAAAAGGAGGAGGATTGGCAATAGATGTTGGCTCAGAGCCGGTCTTCCTCACACACACAAAAAAATTACTTGACTTAGCATCTGCTTTCCTTTGTATTTTTTCTTCGATAACTAAATTCCCTGGAGCCTTATTCTACGTATGCATCAGGATGGTTTGATGAAAGGAAGATAATTAGATCTAAGCTGTGATTTTTATGCCATGATACACAGGTTTATAACTCAGACTCAGGAGCTAGGCTACTTCGAAGCTGCTTCAATTGAGCAATCACTTAATTTCTCTTAGCCCCAGTTTCCTTATCTCTGAAACGGGGATAATACCTCACAGGATGGGTAAGAACAGGGGTTAGCAAACTACAGCTAATGGGCCAGACCTGGTTCCTGGGCAGCCTGTTGAGCTAAGAATGTTTTCTACATTTTTAAAGAGCTGTCAAAGCAAAAAGCAAGTAAGGAAACAAAGAACATGCGACAGATCTGCTTAGTACCTCCCCTCACACACACACAATCCTGAAATATTTACTATCTGGCTCTTTACAGAGAAAGTTTGCCGACCCCTGGGCAAGAGGATTTAATGAGCAAATATTGTAAGTGCTTAGAAAAAGGCCTGGCCACAGTAAACAACAGTTGTGTTAAATAAAACCTACATGCAGTGAGTCAGGCTTTCTCTTGGGCATTCGTATATTTCTTATACTGTTATTTGTAAACACTCTATTAACTACTCAAGATAAAACTGAGGTAACTGAAATCTTGTATCATTTTCCCTAAACTTGTGAATTCTGATAAATCTGTGAAAAGATACACAGAAAAATGGTTACAGGATTTTCAGATTGGAAAGATAGTGAAGTTTTTCTGAGAATCAGGTTTTCCACAAATCCCAGTGAGATTTTAATTGACGTTATGTTATTGCTTTCTCATGTTCTTTGCTGTCGTGTCTAGTTGGCACTTATTTTCTTAAGGTCTTCAAAAATGACTCTTAAACTTAGAAACCTGGTTCTTTCTAGACAGTAAAGAATGATATAAGAGAGCCTGGCCAGTGGCGCAAGCAGTTAGGTGCTCGCACTCCGCTGTGGCGGCCCGGGGTTCGCCGGTTGGGATCCCGGATGAGCACCGATGCACCACTTGTCAAGCCATGCTGTGATGGCATCCCATATAAAGTAGAGGAAGATGGGCATGGATGTTAGCCCAGGGCCAATCTTCCTCACAAAAAAAAAAGAAGAAGAAGAAGAATATAAGAAAAAGTTGATATATTTTTATATAACAGATATGGACATTTGTATAATAGATGAGTTGATATACATGAAAGTGATTTGCCATGAGTTTGGTACTTGAAGAGGTTCCAATGAACTTTCTAGAAGAGGACAAGAATTTACAAATTGAGAAACTTCTTGTCTGCTGTTCTCAGGCATTAATCAAAAAATATAAATAAGTATAAATCCATGAAAATGGCTTGAAGAAATCTAACCTTTGGATCTCTTTCCACATATGTAATTTTGAGGAGAGGACTAATATTTATTACATTTTTTAAATTCCAGTGAAAAGAAATAAAAATGACTTATTTAAGATTCTGCCTGAAGGATGGGTCACCTAACCTTACCGGGTCTCTTTGAATTCCTGAATTTTATGGTTAAACATTTAAGGTTTTAAATAATTCACTCTACAGCTATAATGTAATTCAGATCTCCTTTACCTGTGAAAGGTGCCAACTGCCTTTTTGTTACAGGTGGTTTCTTTTTTTTTAATTGATGTTTTAATAGTTTATAACATTGTGAAATTTTGGGTTGTACATTTTTGTTTGTCCATCACCATATATATATCTCCCTTCACCCC